TGACCATGGGTGGAGGTTTGCACACAGTGGGATTTGTATCTAGGGCACAGCAACACAGGTCCTGGCTGAAGGAGGCAGCACATAAGTGCAGGACCAACATCACATTGTGTATGGTAAACAAGAGTCATAAAATTTTGTGAAAACATGTAGCTTTATTTTCTTGGATCACAAACAAGAACATTGCATGTACAGTAGACTCCAGTGGCAAGGCCACAGGTCCCAACTCTAGTCTACATATAGTGGGACGATAACTTGGCATCACTCCCACATGGTTTCTAGTGTGGCTCCACGTGTGGCCACGCGACGCGTCCACCCGAGTGACACCGTTACCAAGCCTTCTTAGGCTTGTGACTGGGCTCGCAGTGGCGAGCCTAACGAGGCTCGCAAACCTTAATTCCGCACCCCAGCTGAATCCCCCGCCGGGGCCCTGTGCTTTACGCCTGAGTCTGTGGGCACACGTCACCAGCCTTCTAGCTAATAATAGTCCGCGCCTGCTCCTAACCCTAAGTTCGCGCCTGCCATTGCGCTTGGCACCGACACCTGTCCTGACACTCGTGCTCATCATCGTGCACAATGGCCACGAGTATGACGCTGCAAGGCCACATATAAAATCCAAAAAATTGTCATAAATTCTAGCATATACACTAGGGCTACATACATGCTGTGCAGTGGTACTTTAATGGCAGCTAACCTCCTATTGTCAACGCCAACTGCAGCGATGAGAGGAGCTTCGTGTTGCCTCTCATATGCATCGTTGGGTCATGAGTAAGGTAGATAATACTTACTGGAAAGTGAAGACACAATACTAGTCACCTCATTAGCCCGGAGCAAATGTAATACTGCCCATACAAGTGGATACCCCTGTGCTTGGAGAGAAGATACCTGTTAGGAAGCGACGTCCTAACTAGTCGTCTTGAGATAACTGGGCCACGTGCCAACAGTTATGTCGTCACTACCTCAGTAAGCGTACTGAAAGGTAGGTCTAGCCGGGCCAATGCCAACGGTCAAGTCAAGAGTCCAGGTAATTGCTGTATTCAACAGGAGGTTGAACTAAGGAATACATGGGTTTTCCTACAGTATATATAGTAACTGGTATAGGGGTTGATACCCAAAGAAGAGAACAATGAGAAGGGACGCATAAGCTATCCTGTGAGAACGTAACTCAGAGAAATGAGAAATACAAGGGCGCCCATTGGTAGAAGGTGAGTCAAGGGAGATAACGTGTGGGAAGAAGATAGCGTCCATGGGAAGTTCTACTCAGAGAAAGGTACTGTCCAATAGCAATGCTCGGAATGGAAATGGAATGAGATAAGCATGGGA